GGGGGGGGTGTACTCATAGTCGTGCATGCCGTAGTCGTTAGACCTTTGACCTCGCATCACTACAAAGCCGGGACGGAGCACGGCGGGTTCTCACCGGACCAGGCTCTCACATCACCAAGCGCGAAGCGCCGTGAGATATTCGGCGAGTCGCATGAAGGGTGCGCTGCATCCTGCTAAGGGTTTTCGGCATCTTGTGCTTACTTCCTTGCGTACGGATGACAGCTGCGTATGACTTAATTTATTTTCTGGTGCTTTCACTTCCAGAGACAGTTGTAAGCACTGTGTAACTGCCTCGAGGGTGCTTGACCATTTTAACACAACGTGGTGCGATCATCCCCCTTGCGCGGAGTGAGGGTTCTCCACCCCGCACAACATGATCTACTCGATCACCACTATGGTTACCGCCAAAACAAAAACGGAGGTAAAAAAAAAACGGAAAACCTGGTTGCCGAGTTCACGAAGTGAATTGGCTTGTTTTACAACGTCATTGCCAAGCGACGAAAACCCAACCCCGATGGAAAACACAAGAGGGAGGGGCGGCGGCATATTTTACAACGTCGTTGCCAAGCGACGAAAACCCAACCCCGATGGAAAACACAAGAGGGAGGGGCGGCGGCATATTTTACAACGTCGTTGCCAAGCGACGAAAACCCAATCCCGATGGCAACTGTTAACACAGCCCCTTCGACTGCTGTGGTAATATCACATCTCGAACGGGTGTTTAGTCTTTCTGTGCAAATGCGTACTATTTCCCAACAACTACAATGGGGCGAGGGACACTCGACATCAAAGTCTCAACCATCATCAGTCGATCCTGGCGTAGCCGGGGCGGCCTTTGGATGTCGCGGGCATAGCTTGTTACGAACCGTCGCGCGCCGAAAGCCCCCCAAAAAAGAAACGCGACGTTTTCACGTCACCACATCCCGTCGGCCAATGCTTCGCAAATTCGAGCCACGAACGCACGACAACATTAGGCTGAAACCAGATCTGTAATTGGTGATTACGTGTTCTCTTCAATGTTGTTTGACGTTCGCTGGGCTCTTCGAGTCGAACATGACGTCAGCTACTGTGTGAGCTGTTGACCATGGAAAAACGTCACAGCTGGCAGCCAGCTGCCAACTGTTGGCTGGTCCAGCTGCCTGTTTTCATTGTCGTCTGGCATTACCTCCATGATGACACTGCTGTGCTCTCATGAGAAGAGTCCCTATTATAGGCACCCCTTGTGCTTATTCACCCGCGCTACTGCTGTACGTCGACAGAGTGTCAAAGCTGTAACCCATGGCCACGTGAAAGAATGGAAACGATAACCGTGAACATACAGGTATCACCACCAGCACAAAGAAGAAAGAATGACGCGCATACCTGAGCAACACCGACGGTATTCAAGCCGACCATGGCCCCCACGACGAGGGCCAGCAGCGCAAACGTGACCCACGCCACCTGCCCAAACTCCGCCACCATCACGTCCTTCCCTCGAAGCGCGTAGAGGCTATGTCTCATGACGATAACCTGTCGAGAGACAGCCAGCAAGCAGGTTTGTCACGCAACAATCACGAGAAAGCACTATACACCTCACACACACTACATCAGCAGGAAAGCCTAGATAGCTTTCGAGTTGTTGGTCGTTCATCGGGGCGGGCTGGATCGGACAGGGAAATAGCGCCGCAGCAGCAGTAGCAGCAGCAGACACAATCGCTTACGCTGGTAAGAGGAGCCTAGCTTTGGAGTTGGTTGTTCATCGTGGTGGGTTGAAGCGGACAACGAAACAAAGCAGCAGCAGCAGCAGCAGCAGCAGCAGCAGTAGCAGCAGTAGCAGCAGGCACAATCATATACGCGAGAGCCAGATCGGGGTAGAGCAGCAGGTGGCGCGATGAGCTTGTCCCCGGAAGCCGTGTCAAAGCTGCGACGAAAATGCTACTAGTGTGTACACAGCCGTGTTCCTGGTCGGGTGCTACTGTAGCGAACCGCTTCGCGCCAGAGAAGAAGCGGCGCAACCAACCCTTCACATACCCAATGGAACAAATACCCCCTGCGGACGTCCATACAACAAAAAGGAAAAAGTGATGCCGTACTTGTACGCGTGCTAGTCTTTGCCGAGGAAATCGTTGAGGCTGCCACCTTTTTGGAGCAAAGTCCACGGTATGGCCTCGACAACAAAACAACGCCTCACCTCGCTGGGAATGTAGAGGATCAAGTGGACGACGACAGCGGTCTTGAACACTGACGCTATTGCGCCCGAAAAGTTTAGGAGGATGTCCCCGTCGACCGAGTCGCGGAAGGACAAGTACCTAACAGANGGGGGGGGGGGGGGGGGGGGGAGAAGTGCCGTCGTATTGTATTTGTCAGGATGTGTAAACGTGTTGTGTCAGAGCAAAAAATCCCTCCGTGTGGCCCCCCTTCTGCGAGAACCCATTTCCCAGCGGCAGCGGCGTTTCTCACCCCGCAAGACCCATGGAGTAACAAAGGCAGGCGCCCACGACCAAGGCCCAGGTCGCTACCGAGCGCCATGCCCTAAAACCAAAACGGAGAACGGACAAGAAAAGGAGCAAAAAGGCAGGCGGCGCGGAGGGGGGGGGTGTACTCATAGTCGTGCATGCCGTAGTCGTTAGACCATTGACCTCGCATCCCTACAAAGCCGGGACGGAGCACGCCGGGTTCTCACCGGACCAGGCTCTCACATCACCAAGCGCGAAGCGCCGTGAGATATTCGGCGAGTCGCATGAAGGGTGCGCTGCATCCTGCTAAGGGTGTTCGGCATCTTGTGCTTACTTCCTTGCGTACGGATGACAGCTGCGTATGACTTAACATATTTTCTGGCGCTTTCACTTCCAGAGGCAGTTGTATGCACTGTGTAACTGCCTCGAGGGTGCTTGACCATTTTAACACAACGTGGTGCGATC